AAAAAAAAAAAAAAAATCGCTAGATTGATTCTTGCTTCTGCATTCTTATTTCTTCATAGAACCTCTGGATGAATTTCTCAGCCCTCTGATCAACCGAGTCTTCATCCTCCTCTTCCTTATCAGACGGCTCCAGAAGCTCCCCTGGAATGGGAGGCAAAGCATCCCAGTCCCATGACAATGCGTGGTCTGCATCTTCTCCTCGCCCTTTCACGCCGCCAAAACAGCGACAGAGAAATGGCATCGATAACATATCCCGACTGCTTCCACTTCTGAACCGCCGTGTTCGGTAATAAATAAGCGGAGTACTGGAAGGAGAGAACTCATATTCCTCCTTAAACCCGTAATTGTAATGCCTAAGAAGCTTAAACCTTTTCAACTTGCTCGATTTCTTGAGGAAAATGAGCTTGGGGATAAAGGGTTTCCTCAACTTGGCAAGGAAGATGGAGAGTTTTAGGAGAGTGGAAAATTTGTGCAACATGGGCTCTGTTTTCTGGGTCATTTTGGTGGAGCGTTTTCAGCCGCAGAATGGGGTTTTGGCGATGATGGTTTTCATGAATAAAGGAGCCTTTTAAGGAAGGGAAAAGGGAGTGTAAGGAGTGGCATGGGGATCTGATTTGGGAAGGTGGGGAGCCTCAAAGCCCAGCTGGAAAAAAGAGGAATGGTCGGTTACATTTTGGATTTATTGTAAGGAATAAGCAAGTAGCCGTTGAAAAACTTAGGTGGGGTTTCTTCATTCCCTTTATGCCCTTGATTTTGAAGTTCATTCAAGGGAATGCTCAAGGGGGGAGGCTGATAAATTTTTGGGTTTAAAATAGGGAATCAATGTATTTGTAGATTTCTATTTAGGCAAACAGAAAATACCCAACCCTTTGATTCTGTTGTGTTTAAAGTGCCTAAAATGACATTGAAAGGTCACTTTAAGTAAAAGTTTTTCCATTTTTATAAGTTTGAGCTCTTGAGTAAAAGTGGTTATGTGAGAAAGTATGAAATTTTCTTTTTCTATGTTGAAGTGAATTACAATAAGTCAATAATAACAAAGGGTTTTAAATTAAAGTCGTTTAACCATAAAAATGGTTGTAGTTATAATATCAGTGATATTATAATTATATAATATAATTTATTATTATATAATTTATTTTTTAATTTAAAAATTCACATATAATATTATATGTATTAACTTATTTAATAACATGTCATACTTATTTAATATCTAATTGTATTATAAATTTACAATCTTATGTTACATTAAAGTATAATATTATCATAACAATTTATATGTAAGAGATGATATAAGAAATAATTAAGAGAGGAAAATATGAAATAAATAATAATAATAATGAACTTATTCCAAGTATCCCAAATCCCAATTTTAAGTGTTGCATTACTCTTTAGTTTTTACAATACAAAAACCATGAAATTTCACCCCAAAAAAAAAAAAAAAGTCATTCTAAAACTAAGTACAGTTGGTCTTCATTCCTAAATTCTGGTAAGCTTCTCAAAAGTGAAAGGTGATTGGAGACGGAAGAATGAAGGCATATATTTTCAAGGAACTACCCTGTCCACAACAAAGCACAGATACGCCGAAGAGAATTTCCTTCATCCTTACACATACTCTCCTTCCGAGTCCTTTTCAAATTATTAATCAATAATTATTGAGATGCTTTGACGGTTTCGGTTTGTTCAAGAAATCTCCCCTCCTCCTGTCCTCCTTGTTTAATCACCTTAGTCCAGCATGGAGCATGGAATTTGGGAAACAAAAGCCGTGTCCAATCAGATCAACCCTCCAAAAACCACACCTAATTTCTTCTTAATATTTTTTCACTAAAACATTCCATTTCCTTTCTTTCTGTTTGGGATTACCTATTCCCTTGAATTTCCTTTCTCTTTTGGTTAATTTTATTTAAATATAAGACAATGATTGGTACACCTAATATTTTAATATTTGATTTAATATTTTTCGATTTAATCATTAAAAAATTATTATTTTTTAATTTAAAATTAAAAACAGACAAGTATAATAATATAATCATAC